AGAGATCTCATTTGATTTATGGAATATGGAAAGCCACCGCTAAAGCCGCAACTCGCAAGGTTTCTGCATAGTAACAGAAGATTAAGGTGTGAGAGAAAGACAATGAAATTTATCGAAAAAAAATTATAAAAAAAAATAATGAATCTCACAGTCTTGTCACATTTGGAGGAAGTTGAAAAGGTATCTGATTTCCAAGATTATTGTTACTGATATCGCTGCAACAAAATAGTTCCAAAATGATTTAATAAACCAAAAAAACTAGAGGGATCTATCAATCATATAAATTATAAGCACATTATTTTGTCTTACAAAGTAGTTAATGATGTCAATTTATCTAGTTGGTACCCCATATTCCCAGTGAGTCCCAGTCCCGATATCCTTCTGATGAAAGAAAGAAAAAACAAACATATCAGAATGTGACCATACAGTTAATTCAAATATAGTAAAAAAAAAAAAAGGAATCTTGAGAAAATAAGGAAAAGAAAATATGATTAGTTCGGAACAGATCACATTTCTGTAATTCTTGAGCCTGAGCACGTAATTCCTTTCCAGTTCTGCCCACAAGGGTCCTGACCACTTGGGTTCCATTTATCGAGCTGTGGTGGCTGATTCAAACCCGTATACAAGGCGCTTATAGCAGCAGCTGAATGTGAATGCAGCTTGTAGTTAAATTATAAACCAAATTAAAATTTTGATGAATAATGAGTATGAGGAGCATGAATAATTTAATTTTGTAATGCCAAGCTCATGTTCCAATGAAAATCCTGGAAAAAACGTATGGATGGCTTGTTCTTGATCAAGCTAGATTTTGATTTTGCTGATCAAGAATGGATTTTGGACGTGAGATAAGCATATAACCGAAGCGCATAACATGATTCTTGAGTTTATTGCATCATCTGGTAATTACATTTCAAGTAACCACCACCATTATCCGATATCGAAATATTCATTACCAAAAAAACAAATGTTAACCAAGCAATCATGATGTGATGATCATTTCAAATTGTTCAACTGATTCAGAGAGCCGGGCATACAGGGAGCCTCTTGAAATCGACAAAAACAAGACTACTTAATCACAAAAACAAACACTTGATGATCAGACCTCAAAAGAGGAAAATAAAAATATGTTCTTTACAAGAATGTGCAAAAATTATCATTACTAAAATCCTTCAAACATTTTGTACAGAAACATATTACCTAACAAATCAACATTATGAGCAACTAGCAAAAGAAAAACAAAACACCAAAAGTTGGAGAGTATAATTGCAACACAAAATTAGGGCAAAAAATAATAATAATAATAATAACACCCTGACCAATAAACAATCATTAAATCCAGTACAAACCACAGTGCCATCCCTAAAACCCTCAAGCAATCAACACACCAAAACACATAGACAAACCCATCTATGTGTACATAAATACAAAAATGCACAAATAAAGCCAAAAAAAAAACAAAGAATGAAACTGAACGAGTACACATATAAATGAAGAGCTGACCATCGTTTGGATCTGTATCGCCATTGGTGGAGCTGAGAATGCAAATGAGGAAAACCACCATAGCCACAAGCTCCATCTCTTTCACCCCTCTCATCTCTCTCTGTGCTTTCTCTCTCTACCCTCTCTCTATTTTCTTGATTTTATATCAAAGCAAAACTTTCAAACCAGACAAAAAAAAAAAAGGGTA